AGGAGGAAACTCGAAAAAGGAAGAAAGCCATTTTGACCTTACCCCAAACTGGTTTGGCGAGCAAGGGATTTCTGGAAATTGAAGAGAAGGAAAGAAAGTAAGGTCTGACCATTGCATTTAAAGTCAATGCATCCAAAACTTGTACATCATGCTTTATAAGTTGTAATTAAGAGATTTTTGAAATTCTTGCATAAAATGGTTGTAACTTGTGCTTAAAGTCTTGTAATTAAGACATTGGTCTAAATGCTTATATATGTAGTATAGATATATAGTAGTTTAAAAATATTGGCAGGTAAAATAGACCTAACATTTTTAATATATAATAACAGTAAAAAATTTAGCAGATAATAAAGATCCAAAATATATTAATTGATTATATTAGACAAGAAAATCCGTAAAAAGTTAAATAACTATTTGTGTTCTGCTATTGTTTATTGTTTCTTTAAGGTTTTTATCTGTTACAAAATTTCAATGTTATAAGATACTGCTGTCTTGTCTACTTGACTACTGCTTATTGTTTTTGTACTTCAAACTTCAACGGACAATTACTTTCAAGTTTAGCCTTTTTAAGTCATTGAACTTGTTATTGCTATTTGCTTTTGTAGGATATATTTACTCATTTCTACTTCCATTTGTTTGGGTTATCCGTTTGTATGCTTCGGTCTTTATTGGTCATTACCATTTGATTATGTTATTTTATCTGTGTAATTGCTTATGTTGGCAATTATCACTTGCTTTTGTTTCTACAGCTGGTATTGTATTACCATTTCATGATTATTGTTCGTTGTTTCACGATCCATCTATTGTTCTTATGTGTTATCACTCTCAATTACATAATATTGAGTACACGAATCTTGTTTACTTTTGTATCTATTAAAAACAATAATAAATATCAACGTATAACCGGCATTGGTTTTTAATTTGAAATTCACGGTTTCGAAAAAATTTGTTTTCGTCATCTTAAAAGTTTAAAAATGGTAATGGAAGGCATTAATTTGTGGTGAGATAAACCCGAATGATTTATATTATTTTTACATAAAGTGTTATTCTGAATCGTCAACATTGTGAACTAATCAATATGGAAGGTATGTTTTATGGGAAAACGAATCGTTTCTGCTAAATGTATTGCAAAACACATATTATATAATATTGATTTTTAAATTATTATTGATTAATTTTAGTTTTAGGGGCCGTTTACCAAACGCTTACTAGGGTAAGTGAACACCAAATCACATTATCTTACCGGATAAATATGGTAATGATCAAGAATCTTACCCGGTAAGAGCGAGACAAGGACCAAAAATCTTACCCAGTAAGTGAGGGCGACGACTCTTACCACGGTAAGCACTTACCGGGTAAATTGTTGCATACGATACCGTTTTGGTGGACTAAAATCTTATCCATTGAGTAAATGATAATGTTAAATTTTACCGGTAAGTGTCTGGTAAACGGCCTCTTAGTAATATTCAAAAAAAACGTTTTGCATAAATTATTAGTATTTTCTGTAATTTTATGTTTTATAATAAAAACCATTTGTAAATTACGTTTTTAGTCTCAATGGTTTATTGAAATTTTCTATTTTTATTATTTTTATTTTGAAAATATGATTTTTATCTCTATGATTTTAAAACCATAATTTTTATTTCCATGATTTTTAATTTATTGTCATTTTTGTTCTTAAAATTTATGCTTTATTTCTTTTTATGTCCCTGTGGTTTACACTTCATTTTTATTTTAGTCCCTCATATCTAAAAGTAATATTTTGCTTCAAGGTCAATAATAAAAATGAATTGTAAACTACAGAAACGAAAACCGCATTTTTGAAACCACATGAACGAAATCTGCAATTTTCAATAAAACATAGAGACGAAAAAAGTCATTTACTGTAAAAACATATTTCTCGAATGCCTTCTTTAATAGAATCCCTGACGTACAAATGTATGTCAAATGTGACGATATAAAATCAAGAGTGAACTATAAATTTGGTCCTGATAGAGAGAGAAAATTTTCCCTAATGGGGTGGGATTCTCCGTTTTGACGGGTAATGGGAGTTTATTTTCATATCCGAAGTGGGTTCGGGACAGGGTCGGGGATGTCATTACCTGCCCCTAATCTGACCATGGTTAATTTTTTTTTTATTAAATATATGTATATAGTATGTATAAATAAATAATTATATTCGTATAGGCGAATGATCGTGTGAGAAGCATAAGAAGTGATATGAAACCGTGAACACTTTTAATCTCATGTTCACCCTTGAATTGTGTTTTAGAAGAGAATTAATCTGGTGCATCTCAGTGCACCTCATTAATGTTGAGATTCAATTAGGATTGATCCAAATGTGAAGATCTCTTCTTACACTTCTCGGTGCACCTCATTATAACTTCTTTTCTCACCGAAATCCAACTTTGTATGTATTTAAACATTTAGTATCAAAATTACAAATATATTTGATTTTCGATATTGGTAATTAATGTAGTAAAGATTCATTATAAATTTAATTTAAAATTACATTGATTTTATTGTTTTTTTAACTAAACGGGTACCCAATGGGTTCCCTGAACCCGCCGGAGATTCCTTTTCCCCCGCACTTGTCGGGGATTAATCGAGGAGGGGTTGGGGATGGGGGGGCTTAAACGGGGGTTGAGGTTGGGGACGGGGGAGCATTAACCATCCAATACCCAACCCATTTCCCTTCCCAAGTCCTGGTGGTTTGTCAAAAATAAAAAAATTCATCTCTTAAGTTTCAAAATTACAAGATGACCATCATGATTTTAAAAAACGAGCGAATTTGATCCCTTCTTCTAACGATCATTATAATTTTTGTTTGATAAGGGATATTTTAGTCTTTTTATCATATTTTTATGTCATTTAACCAATGAAAAATCACAGGACAAAATCATTAAACCGATTTTAATTGATTAAAAGACAAAAAAAATCGATTAAAAGAACGAAAATGTTCATCGTTTAATAAAAATTTTAACAGTCGTTAAAGTAGGGGATTGAACCCGAACACTTTTACGAATCATGATAAACATCTTATAATTTTGAAACTGGAATGAAAAAAAAATTATTTTACTCCAATTATAATTTACTCTAAAATCAATTTAGATGAAGGGGTTGCCCAACATTATTATTACAGATGGGCTTGGGCTTCATATTTACAAGCCCAATACTTTTGTTAGATCGGTGATGGTCGGACGATGGTCGAGGTGGTTCAAATCAAGCAGGGAAAGATAGAGATAATTTTGTATTTTTGAGAAAATAAGATGAAATGGGATTGAATTCCTTCTCAATTGTGATAGAAACAGAATGATCAAATCCATGAATGGTGTAATATGTGGAATTCAATTCCATTCCATAAGTAAACCAAACGCATGAATAGAATTTGGTCAATGAAATTGATAATTCCAATTCCTTCGAATCCCATTAGAATCTTGCGAACCAAATGCCCCCTTAGATTCGGGTCTTGGTGCTATTACTCTCGTGGAACATGTAAATCTTTGTAAAGAAGTTCACGATAATTCGACAAGCGTATTCGGGTCTTGGTGCTATTACAGGTTCTTTGGCTCACAGGCAATGAGAGGTTGTCATCGGTGGTTAGGCAGTGAACTACCCTTTCTCAGAGGATGGTTCTTTGGCTCACTGGCTGCATTTTGATGTATTATTGCTGTTTACAAACCAATAATGATCTATTCGAAATTTATATGTCGTCGTATCATACGTGTATCCGACTAATAATAATAATTTTTATGAGTATATTATTTTACTAAATTATAAGATGTAATTGATTATCGTCATAATTTTTTATTTAATCTCTAAATAATTATGTTTGATAATATATATATATATATATATATATATATATATAATTTAATTACTATATTATAAAACATTTGACAAAAACTTTTAAAACTCATTCTTTATGCATGAAGTACTGTTTATTAATGTATATTACTTAAAATTTAAGATTATAAGTATATGTGCGTAAGTACAACTTGTTAAAGCTCTATTTTTGAAATTGTATAACTAACTGCAGATAAACATAATCAAATACAGGATAAACATCTCTAACATATAAATATAAAAAATTTAAAATATAATTAGGACAATTATTGAGTTCTAACAGAACCATTATCTTTATAAAAATTATATTGTTAAACCTGAAATAAATTACTTCGCTATTAGACCTAAATGAAATTAGAATAAAAAAATTGAATTAAAAAACTTGTACAAAAAAATGAGAACTTTTAAATAGTTAATATGATATTAAGATCTAGATAATTTTTCAAAATTTCATGATATCTTCAAAAAAAATATTCAAAAGTAAAAACATTATCTTTCTCAAAACCACATACATCGTATTATATCAACATAGACAAAAAATAAAATGAAACATTAAAATGAAGATGTATTTCGTTGCATTATGCGAGTACCTTTCTAGTATTAATTAAAAAGGATTGCATTACTAAAAAACATATCCTCCTAAAATTAAGGGGGTGTTTGGGATTGCTTATTTAAAATAACTTATATTTTTTGTAAAAATGTTTATTAACTTATGTGGTATCAAATCAGAGTTAAATAAAACAAGGTTAAAATTGTAAACTGGTAATAAACAGTTTTTCATAAGTCAAGAAGGATTAACTTGTAAAAAACAGCTTATTACCATTTGGCACCGGTATAAGCAGTTTTTTTACCCAAACACCAAAAACGGCTCATCACCGATACCAAATTAAAATAAATTAAAAAACAGTTTTTATAAGAAATTCCAAACATCCAATTAATCAACAAAAGAAAATAAAAACTGAAAAGTGGTTTCAACGCCAACACTCGCAGTGTAAACTCCGAAATCATGCAGCACCGGCGCTGATCTCTAATACTCCGCCACGGTTCGTCAACATCACTTTCAAATCCAAACCCTATCGTCTTAATTAACGACATTGGAAATCCGTTTACATCCTTTGTAATTTCTCAGATCATGTACGCATTTACATTAATCAATGATGGTATACGAGGATGAAGCCTTCCAAGAAGCCCATCTCTACGCTTCTCGTGAAGAAATGGAGTCCCTTGCTCTTCATGATGACGGTAATACCAATAAATCATCCACCTTCAACGGCAGTGCAAATGGCAGAGATGATAATGAACACCACTACTCTCTCCCGTCACCGGTAACCGTTGCAGAAACTACAACTAACGAAGATGGTGGTCCTCTTGAACTTTTATCTTCCCCTCACGGAAACCGTAATTCGTTCAATTCGTTCCTTGAGCCTCCTTCTTATGCAGACGCAATGTTCAGATCGTTTGATGGTGACCACGGCAAGCAAATCAACGGCCTCGGCGTTGTCTCTACGTCAGCGCAGTCTACCAGTTCTGATTATTTGGAAATTTCGGTTACACATCCACGAAAGGAGCACGGTGTAGCTAACTCGCGAGTTTCCGGCGTGAACACTTACGTGACCTACTTGATAACCACATGGACGAATCTTCCGGAGTTCAATGACACCTTTAGCGTTCGGAGACGGTTTTCAGATGTTGTGACGTTATCGGATCGATTACTGGATTCATATCGAGGGTTTTTTCTTCCAATGAGGCCTGATAAGGGTGTCGTTGAGAGCCAGGTTATGCAAAAGCAAAAGTTTGTTGAGCAGAGGAGAATCGCTGTGGAGATGTACTTGAGAAACCTGGCTGCTCATCCAGTTATCCGGAGAAGTGAGGAGCTAAGAGTGTTTTTGCAGGTTCAGGGGAAGCTGCCGTTGGTGAAGACCGCAGATGTGGCATCAAGGGTGCTGGATGGGGCAGTGAAGCTGCCTAAGCAGTTGTTTAGGGAGTCTGTTATTGATCCCAGCGAGGTGGTGCATCCGGCGAGAGGGAAAGATTTGCTCAGGATATTCAAAGAGATGAGGCAATCGGTTACATATGGTTGGGGTGGGACGAAGACGCCTCTGATGGAAGAGGATAAGGAGTTCATGGAGAAGCGGATGAAGTTGCAAGATTTTGAGCTGCAGTTGACTAATGTCTCTCAGCAGGTTAGTTGTTTGTCCTTTGAGTATGCAATTACCAATTTATGATTCATATATGATCGATGAACCAATATGGTCAAAGATTATGGCAAAATGCATGATCATCTTCCTATTCTACTTCTTACTCAGACTGCACTTGTACCCGGTTTACGCTTACTCCTTTTGTGTTGGTAAATGGAGGGATTCCATTAAAAGTCTGATATCTTCTGTCTTAACTGTTAAGTTTATCATCTTATGGAACTGCAGGCTGAATCTCTTGTTAAAGCTCAACAAGACATTGGGGAGAGCATGGGGCGGTTGGGGTTGGCCTTTGTCAAACTAACTAAATTCGAGACAGAGGAAGCTGTGTTCAACTCTCAGAAAGTGAGAGCCAGAGATATGAGATCTGTGGTTACTTCTGCTGTTAAAGCAAGTAGGTTGTATCGGGAGTTGAATGCACAGACCATCAAACATTTGGTAACTGCTAGATCCTTTGCACATATTTATTGCAAGAATATTATACCCAAAGGGTTTTTCACATAAACAACTTCTCTACTCTTTGGAGCAGAGGTCAAGTCTGCTTGTATCACACTCTTGACCCCACCTCTGGTCGGGATATACTGGGCTCTTTTGGTTTGTTACAAGAATAGTATGCCTTTTGACGGTGTAGGAAAAGCTTCATGACTACCTAGGAGCAATGTTGGCTGTGAATAGTGCGCATTCAGATCGATCAAATGCTTTGTTGACAGTACAGACTCTTGAATCAGAGGTTTCAACTTTAAACTCGAGGATTGAAAAACTTGAAGCAGTTGCATTCAAGGTATTTGGTGGTGACAGGTCTAGAATTCAGAAAATAGAGGAGTTGAAAGAAGCCATGAGAGTTACAGACGGTGCAAAAGATTGTGCAGTCAGAGAATATAAACGTATAAAGGTAACAGAATTTGTACACATCATTAGAGTCCCACATTGACTAGCTCTTTTGGAAAGTAATCTGACAGGGTTTCATATAGTATCAAAGCCAAGATCTACCACTTTAGGGACTCGACACCTATTCAACCCCTCATCTGTCTAGCCCCCTCTCTATAATCGGCTAGACTTAAAACCTCCCTTTCTCATTTCAAGGACTCTGTTAGAGAGTAATGTAATGGGTTTTTATATATTCTCACACTCCATATCCATAACCATTTCATTTTGTATTGTTATTGCTACTACCGACATCTTGATTCCCAATGGTTAGCTAATAATGTACGAAAATGCAGGAGAATAACAAGAGTGAACTCGAGAGACTGGACAAAGAGAGGCGTGACGATTTCTTTGGGATGTTGAAAGGATTTGTCATCAACCAGGTGACTTTTCTCATCTCTGATTCTATCTGCATAATTCGACATTTTGAGGCTGTTATTGTGTTATGGAGTAGAAGTGGTGTGAATGAATGCATGTTGAGTTATAACAGGCAGGATATGCAGAGAAGATGGCAAGTGCATGGGAAACAACTGCGAATGCAACAAGTGGATATGCACAAATTTGTAGCTCAAAGTGGGATGTTTGAACACGAGCGAGTTGGGTCATTCAGGTTCCTTCCAATCTTTTTATACATTGGACAAGTAATATATAAAATAATTAATGAAGGTGGTGTCTGATTGGTTTGAGCTTGGCTCCAAAGGTCAAAAGTATCAAAAGGTCTCAGGTTCAAATCTAAGGAGGAATAAAAATCCTCTTGTGGCCATGGAGGTTCAAATGCGGCGACTCCGGACTATCTGCAAAGCAGGTGGTCGCCTCGAGAGAGGGCAGGCCATGCGTAAGAGCAAGGCCCACAAGAAATAGAGGCCCAATTTTTTTTTATATAGTATATGGTAGTAATTCAAAAAAAAAATATTTAATGTGATCCAAAAAGAATTTAGCATTATATTAAGGGTCCAAGTATGTATTAATTACTTATATTGGAGAATAAAATATGTAAAACAAAATTATTGATTGCTCATTTTATAGTATTGTTTATTGTTTCCCTAAGTATTTTAGTAACTACTAAAATCTAAAATTACATTATCTACAAAACATTGATATATTTCCCATAATTTATCTTTCATTGATTCTTTTGATTATTTCATTCGCATGAATTCTATTTTTGTATTAGAAAAGAGTGTTTCTTGTTATTAACTAAAGAAACTCCTACCTTCAAAAAATTATCAACCATATGAAACAATCTAATTTGTATATATATTTCGAATTTCAAAACTACTATTGACTTTTTATTACCTAATATTGAGTACATTAATCTTAAGTATTCTCGTATCTCTAAAACAACAATAAGATCTCAAATTATAACTAAGGGGCTGTTTGGCAGTTGCTGAATGATTTAGTGCAGAATGGTTAAGAGGATCAGAATGGTTAAGTGCTGAATGAAATAATGTTGTTTGGTAACTGTTCTCTGAATGACAATAAATTACCATTTTAACCCTCCGCAAGATTTAGGATGTATCTTCATGATTTCACAACCAAGTTATGCATATACATCAAAATCATGATGCAAATACCCATTTATCAACAAACATCCCTAATTAATTTAGGATGTATCTCCTGTGTTTTATGTAAGCACTTCCTCTTCTCTGCTTCTTCTCCGAATTCCTCAACCAAATTAATTTCATTTATATATTCCATAAACTGTGTTATGATCGAAAATAGGGCTGTTGTTGGCTCAATATGTCGATCGCTACACGTTTTGTGATGAGAATTTTGAAGATCGGCTTCGCAAACCAGAAACTGGGAATAGGGTTTTGCCAAAGGAGGTTTACGTGTGAAGAACATGAATTGATTATGGGAGGTTGGGTTTGGGTAGCTTGGAATCGAAATGGAGGCCGGTTTTATATCTGAATCACCAGAGCTTTGACTGATGACCTGAACACTGTTTGGCATCAATCACCTGAGCAGAGGCGGACCTGAGCAGAATCATCGGAGAAGCAGAGGCGGGCCTAGTCGCCGATGCCATTGTTGGAGAGAGGGAATGAAAAAGGAGGCAGGTCTGTGAGATGGAGAGATTGGCGAGATCGTTTGGGAGGAAGAACGAAGCGTGGGAGGAGGAGGGGGAAGGATGAAGTTGGAAAGAGAGGAGATGTGGGGAAGGGTAATCTTGGAAAAATAAGCCTCTGAACCATTAGACAACTCATTAGATGCAAAATCGTTAAGAGGTAATTGTCACCATTAAGAGGTTCCATTTTTTTTGCCAAACAGCCTCTGCCTCTTACCGATTAAGAGGCTCCCTCTTAATGTCACCATTAAGAGGCAAACAATCAGCCCCTGAGATGGACTTTTGATTCTAAGATTGTTGATTTCCTAAAAAAATTGTTTTAACCCTAAAAGCTTAAAATAGTGATGAAAAAATTAACATGATGTGACATGGAAACCCAACTGATTTATATTGATTTACATGAAGTGTTATTTTGAATAGTCAACATTGTGACCCCAAATGATGTCAATCTATATACCAAAGTTATATCATAGAATGTGTTTGGCAGTGGAATGAATTTACAATGCTATGCAAAAATGATATAATAGATAATATTAATTTAAAATAATTATTGATTGATTTGGCATCTAGAAATACTTGGAAAACGATTTTATATGAATTATTAATATTTTTTTAGTCCAATGTTATTTCTTATTATAAAAACAATATATTAATTTTCTTTCGTACTCATTGAGAGCCCTTTTTTACATATCGCCCAAGGCCTATAAAATGTCAGGAATGGACCTGAGCATGAGCACAACCTTAGGGATCATTCGACGAGCCCAATTAAAAGTGTACCTCAAGGGCGGTCTATTTACGGCTTAATAAGCTTAATGGTCTGAAGGGTTTATTCTTTTGGTCATAAACATGTGTTTGTTTTGATTTTTTGGGGGTTTCCAGAGTTAGGGCTAAAATAGTAATTTAAAATACTTAGGATTTGGAATTAATACAGACAACTTAGGGGCTATTTTCCCTTTAAGCCATGTCTGCCTGTATGGGTGACTATTTTGATAATTATAACCTCAAATTTTCAACATAACCACTACTATTTCATGTACGTTCATGGAAATCATAAAGTAACAGCCAAAACTTTCTACTTTTAGAAACAGAACAAAGTCGATGAACTTGTATTTACAACCCAAAAAGAACTCCAAGAATGAAAGAATGTTACCCCTCTTGAACTTCAGTCGCCTGTCGAAGGGTCGCCACCGCCACCATCTCCAGAAGTGGTGGCTGTTTCCGGTCTAATCTCTTCCAGCTGCTGAAGAACCAGCTGAGCCTCCGGCCGAGCCGATGGCGCCGGATCAACACAATGCAAAGCCAGTTTTAATGTGTTCAACAGCTCATCACCAATAGCAGAGGCATCCTTCATCAACTCCAAATCAAAAACCTCATTGGTCCACTCTTCTTTTACAATCGAAGCCACCCATTGCGGCAAACCGACACCATCTTCCTCTTCTCCTGGTGTTTTTCCTGTTAGGAGTTCTAACATGATCACACCAAGACTATATATATCGGTCTTAGTGTTAGCTTTCTTGAGCTTGGAAAGCTCAGGAGCCCGATACCCAAGTGCACCGGCGGTCGCAATTACATTTGAGTTTGCTGTAGCCGTCATCAGCCGCGACAACCCGAAATCCGCGATCTTGGGGGTAAGATCGTCATCAAGAAGAACATTGCTTGAAGTTAGGTTTCCATGGATTATGTTGTGCTGGGTGTGGAGGTTGAGTAAACCTCGAGTCATCCCTTTGGCTATTCTCATTCTTGTTTGCCAATCAACCGGTGTATCCGGTCCTCGAGCTGTACCAAGAATCAGCAAAAATTTTACTTCCCAAACAAACTGAGCAATGACAAGACTCTTACCACCCTAAAATTATAACTCATACCAAACAAACTTGTATATCCCACCCGAAGGTAGAGTTTGAGGGAAGTAGTTCCCAAAAAATCCCGACTTGTAAGTAAAACACATAGAAACTAAGGTGCCGTTTACCAAACACTTACCCGGGTAGACAGCTAGAGAAACTATTTCCAAGAATACCCCTGACATGTAAGTAAAGCAAATAGAAACCCATGATGTGTGTATAGAAATTACCATGGAGGAAAGTAGCAAGGCTTCCTTTGGGCATATAATCAAAAACAAGAAGTTTCTCCCCTTTTGGACCCAAGTAACAAGCCCTCATTGCCAATAGATTTTGATGCCTAATTTTCCCAATTGAATTCACTTCACTTTGGAATTCCTTTTGGTTCTTTGTAACCCTTTCTCTCAACCTCTTCACAGCCACTTGATTCCCTTCCACTAATGTCGCCTTGTAAACAGTTCCGTAAGTACTTTTTCCCATTATCTCAGCTGTTGCACACAAAAGATCATCAGCTGTGAACTCCATCCCACCTTCAAAATGCACAAGCTTCCCTCCACCCTCTCCAGCTGCCGCCTCACCTTCACCCTTGCCCACCGGAATCCCCTTTGTAGCGGCAGCACCGCCACCTCCTTCCACATCCTTCTGTTTCACTGCGTCTCCTTTTAACAAACAACACAGAAGTATACAGCAAACCAACAGTAAAACTGCTATCAGAACTCCTGCAATGAGCAAGGTTTCTTTGGTACTTAGTTTCCGTTGGTGGCTCTCCCGTGGAGGAGCCACCATGGGACACCTGGTTGAAGGGTTGTATCCACAGAGATCAAGATTACCCACAAAAACACTTGAATCGAATCTCGAAGAGAGTTGATTTGGGACAGGACCAGATAGGTTGTTGTAAGACACATTGAAGAAAGCAAGTTTTAGTTGATCACCCAAGAAAACTGGGATTTGACCCTTGAGATTGTTGTGAGCTAAATTCAATGAAGTGAGCGAACTCAAATTGGAAAAGCTAGTGGGTATGCTGCCATTAATGGAATTGTAAGAAAGATCTAAGCTTTTAAGCTTAACAAGTCCTCCAAATCCATCAGGGATTTCTTCGTTGAATTGGTTATGGCTGAATGAAATCTCTTCAAGCTCAGTCAACTTGCTCAAAGACACAGGAATCCTTCCAGTGAAGAAATTATGGTCAAATGTCAAAGATTTGACCATGGAGGCACCACCCCAAGAATCAGGGAGAACCCCTGAAAAATTGTTGTATTGGAGAGATAGAAAGACAAGGGATTGGGATTGTGTGAGTGACACAGGAATGTAATCTGACAATGAATTCAAACTCAAATTGACATTATAAAGCTTGGTGCAATTACCAAGGGAATCAGGGATTCCACCCACCAAAGAATTATTTCCAAAATCAAGATTTTGAAGTAGTGTACATGAACCCAGTGAAGGAGGTATTGAACCTGTAAACTTGTTGTTGAACAATTGAATCCCTCTGAGATTTGGCAAGAACCCTAATTCCTTTGGAATTGAACCTCCAATGGCATTATCATGGAGACTAAGCTTTCTGAGAGCTTGAAACTGGCCTATTTTTGAAGTGATTTGACCACCAAGACCTCTCCATGGAAGCTGTATGATGATAACCTGTCCTTGAGCACACTTGATTCCTTCCCAACCACCAGAACAAGCTCCATAGCCACTGTCATTCCAGCTTTTCAAGAAACCATTTGGGTCAATAAGTTCTTGTTTGAATGATTGGAGGGCTTGAAGGTCTGATTCTTTGACTATGATTCCATCCCAAGTTTGGGCTGAAACAACAGAAGGGAAACTGCAAATCAGTAGGTGTAATAGTAGTAGTAGTAAGATGAAAGAGGGTGTGCTTCTCTTCCATTTTTCTTTCTTGGTTAAAAACTGGAGACCTTTTCCAGATGGGCATTTGTGGAAATAACTACCAATGAGTAGGTGTAGTAGTAAGGTGAAATAGTGTGTGTTTTTCTTGCTGCATTCTTTCTTGTTGTTGAAAGATTGGGTTTTGGTTGAAAGTAGGGGTTCTTTTTGAGATGGGTATTTTTGGAAAGTGAAATGGGACTCCATTGATGGAAAGACAAGAAGAGATTTCTTGTTTGTGTGTGAGAGAGAGTGAGAGTGAGAGAGAGAGAGTGAATGCAACAGTGGGATGAAATGGTAGTTATGTAGTGTGTTCATTTTTGATAGTGAGAGATGATGAGGGTTGCTGATGGTTGCACGTGATGGGCACGTTTCTGGACACAGAGATAGATGCAAGATACCTTGGTAAGAAAAATACAGTTGAAATCTTACAACAGAGTAATATAAAATACTCTACACTTACTTGTTTAATCATAAAACGCAACGATGTGTGATAAAATCTAAGGAAAGAAAGAGAATAAATAAGATGTTTAGATGAATTTAACATTATTAGTAAATATATATTATTCAGATTTCAATTGTAAACTGAACTTATATCGTTAAAAGTGAAATAAAAGAGAGTATCGTATGTATCCCGGATATTTCTAGAATATTCATTATAAATAGTGTATTATTTCAAATTACATGAATATAACAACCTAAATTGATTCCTCTTCAATTTATTATATCAGAGTTAGTTTTGGATAATCGTGGATTTCCAGACCAACTTATGTTCACCGACTAATTCACTAGACGACCATGAACGGCCTGCCCAGGGTAGATAAAATTCCCCACTACATCCATCCCCTACATTGTGATGATATATAAGCGGAAATTTGTGTACTCTCTAAATATGTTTGAGATACAATTAACATCCACAAATTGATTATTTCATAATGATTTAGAACATGATCAATACTTGATTAAACAAACATGTCAGTTGGTGAACGAGAATTTAGGAATTATAATATCGTACATTATCTTATTTGAGGTTTTTCTTATAATGAAATTTGTAAGAGGTGTTCTTAAATGAAGTCTAGATGGAAAAGAACGATCAATAAAAACATGTTACAGAAATTGCTTAATTTTAACATTATATAATATAATAGTAACTAAAACAAACCATTATATAATAATGTAATAACAAGAAGAAACACTTTAATAGATATTTCTTGCACTCAACTGTTCAAAACTGCCTTTTGATAAAATGGTTTAAGAGTCTTTTAGGTGTGTTTAATCATATATGATTATCGTCTTCATCGTGAGAAACACAATTCATAAGATGAGGATGAGATTAAAAGTAATGAAGGTTATGACCTTAACTCTTATTCTCACACAACTTAAAGATTTTAAAATTGAAAATTAATAAGAAACGAAAGGTGTGGTAGGTTTCTAAAACTAGCAAGGGTTTTTGTAAATATAAAAAGATGAAGATGTTTTAATGGTTATTAAAAGAGTTGAAGGAAAGAGACAAAGTGAGTTGGGAATGGAATGAAGAAGGGGCTCGGAAACACACGCAGTTACACGTGTTAGCAACGGCTAGTTTTGTGTAGTTGGATGCTTCATAGCCTACACTTGTAACGGCTATCCTTTCATTATGCTCCTCACCATCTTTCTCAATTCTCCCCCAAACCAAAACCAAAAACAAAAACATATTTATTATTAATTATATGTATATATATATATATATATATATGATAAAACCATATTTTTAATTAATTTTTATTTTATATTACGATAATTAATTAGTGCAACCTTTAAAAAAGAAAAAAAAACTAATATAATGACAAATATAGAAGAATAAAAGAAGGGAGACAAAAGTAAAAGAGTTGAAGTGGGAATGGTAAGTGGTAAGTTGGTAATAGGAGCAAAAGGAAAGGTACAAGTTAAAAAAAAAAGTTGGTATGATACATTCTAATGAATGCCTTCATCTTTCTCTACCCATGTCTCCATCATCAACATTTAATCAATACCTATTTTTCATTAGAAAAATACTAAATAAAAATTAACATAAAATGAAAACGCTCATTTTTCAACTTTTAACTTCCAATCGAGTTAGAAAGATAAGCTATCTAAACATAAGGGTGATGTCTGATTGATTTGAATTTAGCTCCAAACATCAAAAGTACCAGAAGATCATATGTTCAAATCCAAGAAAAAATAAAAATCCCCTTGTGATCACGAAAGTTCAAATGCGATGACTCCCAGCTATCTCTAAAGCAGGGATTAGTCGGCTCGAATAGCGAGTTGGATATCCAGGTTAATAAAAAAAAAGTCATTTATTTATTTTAATTATTTTTTTTGTGTGTTATTTAATGTTTTGACTATAAAAATGGTGGTTTCATTTCATATATGATGATATATAATTAAGAGCGACATTTGTTGCAGGCCATTGGATGATGGTGAAGTTGACCGACCATGTATATGATTGTCAAACCCACTTGTAACATTGACATCTCCTCTCTTTTCTCCTTTTTGTTTCTCTTTCTTCAAGATCATAAATAAAAAGATATCTTCAGAGTCGGATTCGTGGATCCAGAATGCAGATGAATCATTTCGGGCTATCTATGGCTTGTTTGCCATTGCATTTGGCCCATCACGAGCTTTACATCCATACGTATTATGTGGGATGTTCATCGGTTGAAATTCATTGGATATAGGGGAACCAATCCAAACCAATCCAATCATCTATTGGATGTTGGACTTTGTTAACCGATCCAATCCAAAACATTGGACAACGGATCCAATCAAATCTAATGGATAATTGAATCGAATCGGTTCCATCCATTAGATCATGCTCGATACATCCAATTTTTGATCCAATTAATTTACCATTCCATCATTTATTCATACCAAATTTTCTTTAAAGAACTTGTATCGCTGATGTTAAATCCATGTAATGAAATCAATTTCAAAACAAAAAATGCAGAATCAACAAAATAACAAACATTTGCATCTTAGAATCTACAGAAATAGAGAAAAACGGAGAGGAAATATTTTGTAGATCTAAACCATATGGAACACATCTATACCCAATAACTTTTTAGACTGAAACACATCGAATCAGATATAAACAAAAAAAATGTCTTAAAATGACATGAAATAGTTCTGACCAAAAAACATAAAGAGTGTGTTTGGCAAGTGCTGAATGATTAAGTGGTCAGAATGATTAAAAGACTCTTAATATAGTGCAAAATGAAATATAATTGTTTGGTAATTGTATACAATGAAATTAGGGCTCTTAATGGTTAAAGAAGTTACAGAATACAAAATCATTCAGAGGGTTTTAGAGAAATCAAAGCTAGAACTACTCAAAACGGATAGATATATTGACTGAACTTCTTATTCTTACACACCCAATCATCATAGCTTTCACCAATCCACACCTCAAGATGGTTTCATTGTGTTGTTTCTATGATCAAATGCCAAACCAAAAGATGGCATATCACTTTGGAGCTCATCCCAATAAGTTGCCGGTTCGAGTTTCCTAAAGATCACCGGGGATTTTGTTGGCTTTTATCTTCAAGACCCATAGGATTAGTCCAAGTGCATGCAAGATGGGACGGGCGCCCATGAAAAAGTTTCAGCTACTAATGCAAACCAAATTTTAGGCTCTCTAGTTTTTGGGACTCCAACCTTCTCAGCATAGCATAGCATAAAATTGGTTTGTTAAACTTTTACCTTAACGATGCATGCTGTTTGTAGTTAACGCGCAGAAAATGAAGTCTTGATATCTAGACTTGGTTTTTGACCATTTAACAATATCATTTTGTGGGTATACATCATGCATATAGATATGGACCTATTTACTTGATGTAATCAAGATGGGGACAAGTGAAGGTAGAACCTTGAAGAAACAGGATCCACAATGCTATCACATCTATTTGCTAAAACTAGAAATCTATGAATAGCAGAAACGTTTGATTACACAAGTAAAGACGAAAAAACATAGAGCAAATGCCATAATCACCATTTCCTACAAGATTTACTTGATGTTCTACTGGCCAAACTAATCTACAAAACACTTGAGAGCTTGATTACTAGTTGTCCTCTTCTATTCAATTCTATCTCAAATTCCAATCAACCCATTAGAAATCAAGTGTTAAATATGCTTAATACCAATCGTTAATTAAGTTACAACAGAAGTCGAATTGATTGAGTAACAAGAAGTGCAACCATGGGAGCAGCATATAAAATTGCAGCCAGATAGTGATTTAATATTGAAGCCAAGGATTAGAAATCAATCAATCAATGTAGGTAAAAGAACCCTAATTAAAAGATTTCTGCAGAGAAACAAAATCATAGCCAGATTGCACCTGCTGCCTAACACAACTAAATTCAATAAATGGGGTATTCTTTTCCCTTGGTAACAAATATTCTACGGGGAATGGGTGTGAAAAATCACCTTGCGCGATCATCAAACGCGTGGGATGGCGGGAGCAGCCGCAATCGCAGCAGATGAAGCGGCTCCGCCGAGGAACGATAGAAATCCGGCATTAGCAGGTTCTTGATCATCCAGGAAGAGATCTTCAGGAACCTTAAACGCTCCATGGACGCAGAGGAATAATAATCCAATCAAAAGGGCGGAGATCATGAGCGAACCTACGTTCGTTAAGAAAACAACAATAATCGTGGAAAGGACCAACAGCACTAGGATTTCACGGTCGGAGAATGTGCGCCCTAAGAGAACGAGTGGTTGATCGGTGGGCCGGAAAAGGTAGAGGAATATCCAGGCGGCGAGGAGGCAGAGGAGGACCAGGAGAGAGAAAGGGTGGGTGAGGAGAGAAAGGGCGATGGCAAAGGCGAGAAGGGCGGAGTAGTTCACACGGAAGTAACCGAAGTTTTTGCGGATGCGTGAGGTGGCTTCGGAGAAGGATTCCGGGCGAGCGAAGGTGGAGCGATCGACGAGTTCCGACCATGGGCGGCGTTGGGAGAAGGATTGGCGGAGGGAGGAGGATATGCGGTAGAGAAAAGAGCGGAGAGCGGAGGTGGCGACTGGGTTTGGTTGGTTGTCGTTGTTGTTGTTGGTGGTGGTGGTGGTCGATTGAACGCTGGTGATTGGCATGGATGATGGCGGTGCTGCCATCGTGTCGTGGCGGAGGAGGAGGGGCAACTAATCGGCGGGATTCTAAAGTTCAAGGCGGGAGGAGAATGTCGGTACAAGCGATATAAAGATACGTTACGGTTGTCTCAGTTACTCTCGAACCCCCTGATCTTTTCTCAAGTATCAAGACTTACCCTCCGACTTTTATGTTTCTATTGATTTCCGACAAAAAGATTTATTAATCATATTAATTCATCTTCAATCACAGTTTTATCAAATTATCAATATCGATTTTTTCATCAAATCGCACTTAATTAACATCATAGGGATACTTTTGTAATGAAATTTAAATGCAATTATTGAAATAATACATCAAATATCGATCGATCGATCTAAAACCTTCAACCATAGAGCAGTAGTTTTAGGTCTGATCGATGATCTAGTAGCTTGTGGTTGAATCTCGTTGCCAGTAAGAAGCATGCTTCCCGATCTTCTGAAGAGCTTTGATGACCTGTTGATTTGTTACGTTGCCGGTAACCGTGACCTTGTTCAATCGTGTATCAACATCATACGTCTCGATATCTGTAGTATCAACTAGATCTTCAAAAAAACTCACCATTAATTGATAAGATAACGGTGCGTGTGTTTGTGTATGGTACCTTCGATCTTCTTGATGGCTTTTAAGATCATCTTAATGCAGTCTTCACAGTGTAACCCGACCTTCAATTCTACCACCTGATGATTGACAAAACGTTAATTAGCAGCTGCCAGACGAATGGATGGATGGATTCATGATGTAAACGAAGGGAATACTGACGTTAGCCATATGGAGTTGCAGTGCTTCAAATCTGATTAGAGGCCTGGTTTGAAGAGAGGAATTGCGTTTGGTGGGAACGACAAATGAGCTTCTGCTTTTCTTTGGGGGGAAAAGCATCTCGGGACGTGTGCTTAAAGGTGTCAAATGGAGACTCTTTGGGGCTGTTTGTTTCCCTCTTAATGGTGACATTAAGAGRGAGCCTCTTAATCGTTCAGAGGTTTAGACTGTTTGGCAAAAAAAAGAAACCTCTTAATGGTTACTAAAAGGCTCTTAACCATTTTGCATATGGGAAGTCTCTAAACCATTCAGAGTGTGGTTTTTCCAATTTTGTCCTCTCTCCCAATTCTCACAGGTCGCAAGCCGGACTTCATAGGCCCCTCCCCCACCCTCTCGTCGCCGGACTTCAAAGACCCTCCCCCACCCTCTCGTCGCCGGACTCGCACAGCCCCTCCCCCACCCTCTCGTCGCCGGTCTGCAAATCGCCTCCCCCACCCTCTCGTCGCCGGTCGCACAGCCCCTCGCTACTCATCTGCCTTCACCATCGCCGTCGCCACCTTCTTCTTCACTTGGCTGGCCGTTTACCTTCTGCCTTCACTTGGCTGGGGTCGTCGATGGCGTGGGAGATGGTTAGATGATTCTAGGGTTGGATTAATGGAAGCCGAAGGGAGATGGGTTTTTGTTGGATAAGGGTTAAAATGGTAATTTACTATTATTCAGAGAACAATTACCAAACAACATTATTTCATTCAGTACTTAATCATTCTGACCCTCTTAACCATTTTGACCTCTTAACTATTCTGCACTAAACCATTCAGCAACTGCCAAACAGCCCCTTTGTTTTAGAATAGAAGAGAGGATTTATTGGCTTTCTTTTGTGAAAAGAAGAGAATACATCATAAAAGCTTGTCTCATTTTTATATTTATAGGACTAGTTGTGTACTTGTGTAATGTGATGGAGTCGTAAATTTTAACGATTTTAAAATTTCACTGGTTTTATTAGATAAGATTTAACGATGATATAAGTTACACTTGGTCTTTACATATTAGTACAATTTGAATAAATAAGAATTATGATTCTAATTACAGTCTATCGATGAAAAAAATTATATGACAATTTAAAATTCAACATATTTAAACGATTCCATAAATGTGTTTGATTTACACCAAGAGCAAAGAATCAAAAGATCGAGAAGCGAAACCGAGACCGAGAATTCTAGAGCAATTGAATGATAAATGAATGAGAGAATTTTTAATAATTCATGGTGAATATGAGTTTGAATCTCACCTTGGGAGATGAGAAGAAAACATAGAGGCATGAGAGGGTGAAGACATGAGTGAAATGTGTTTAAAGTATCTTGGGAGCATGAAAAGAAAATGTAATAATGTGCATTGGTAACTTGTATTATATGTTATTTAATTGTAGATTATGATATTTTAAGACTGAATGCATAAAGTAGTAGTATTTAATGCATTATGAGTTATTTTTAGGACTTTGTGCATAAATGTATAATACTATGTGCATTAAAAATTGTTGTTAAGACTTTTGATAAATCTAGTTTATAAAGTAGTATAGATAATATAAGTTGTAGGTGGGGGTAAAAATGCATTTACTTTGTACCAAAGTAGATAATAAGATTAGTAAATTACTCATATTAAATTACAGTTGAAAAACTTTTTCACGTTTGTCTGTTAGTCTATTTATGTTCGTTTAAGTTCAATCTAGTCATGTTTAATCCCATCTGACGTATCAAAAGCACTCAAAGAAAAACATTCATTTTCAAACTCGTCATTCCAATTCCATCTAATCGGGCACGATTTCCTAATTGAAATGGATATGTTTTCTTTCCCACATATGCTCCAGTTCAAAAGAAAGATCCTCCCAGAGGCTCAACTTTGAGATGAGCAAATTGGTTCTCTCAATGGAAATTCACTGTGAAACACATCAAGGGGTCAGAAATTATCCTAGCAGATTTTCTGTCCAGACCAAAAGACTATAAATATGATGTTCCAAAAGACATCCAGATCATCCACAAAGTCAAGGTCCTTCCAATGGTATTTCCTGTCGAGAATGCAAGTTCATGTTGCAAAACTGATTCGAACTAGAACAGATAAATTCTTAAAATGGTTTAAATTTGGATTAGTTTGGTTGCCCCGTCAACATATCATTAGACATACTTTGTACCGAATGTGTAAAGTTGTATTTCTTGTTACATGAGTATATGCAAAACATGGGATATGGGGTCGTTTCATTTTAATAAGGAAGATGAAAGGATGGTGGGTCTTTTCAATTTCCTTGTTTTTTGTCCTTTTCTTTTAAGTTAAACACTAATAGAAAAAAGCTATTGTGAAGTGCTTTATAAAGAAAACATAGTTTATAGGTTTCTAATGTTGCCACGTCATACTCAGTGGTATCTCCTTTAATATATATATATATATATATATAGAGAGAGAGAGAGAGAGAGAGAGAGAGAGAGACTAGTGTGGGAACCATGCGTTGCACGATAACATGAGTACTTTGACTAATGATTCAAAGATTGTCTATATAAATATACGTTAGTTGTTAATAGAATCATCAACAAATAGTATTCAAATAATTCAAAGAAGTTAATAAAATCTAATTAGTGAAATCTTAGTATATCTAAGGAAAGAGATATTTGTTTATGAATAAAGTTGTAAAATTAAATAAAATGAGTAATAAGAACGACGGGGGTGTGGATAATTTATGCATTGTTTGTCTGATTGATGATGAATATATTTATCAACATTAGTTGTTCAAGCAAGCGTGACTGGAAACTCAACAATATACGACTATTATGTGTGAAGAGATTCGTGTAATATGTATTGATAATTAGTTATAAAATAATGTGAAATGTTAATAAATGTAATGACATACATGTTTTAGGAGGTGTAAGCCATCAAAAGTCTTGACTCTTGTTAGTTGTCAGTGGGAGCATGGTTTCAATAGTAGTTTGTGATAATTGAGTGCAAATTACAACCAATATATACTCATTCTCTACCTTTAATGCCGATTGTAGACATGGTTGATAAAAAAAAGATTAAAATATAAATATTATACATGTTTATACTAAAAGATAGTCTGGTATCTATTCGACATAGGAGGCATCACGCATCCATCAAGTAGAATTGACTTCTAAGGTTTTATTGTTGTATGGGCCCAAAGTGGGCTTCTGGAACTACTTATCGATTGTTGTCTGACATTATTTCACTACTTCTTTCGCAACTTTTTGCTAAGTAAAAAACTCAAAAAATAGGAGTAAATATTGATGAAAAAACATTTTATATGTTACAATAAAATGAGCTCAAACTATAAGCATTGATGAGACACATATTTTTTGGCGAACTAAGTTAAATTGATATCATTTAGATGATATACCGATATGTACGATATTGTTCATCTACATGTAGATGACATAAAAACTAACATCCTTAATAAATACAAGTGAGCAGTCCCTTTCCATTTGTAACACCCTCATTACCAAAATAACAGAGAGTAAGATTAAGAATTAAAAATATTAGAAAATCATTTTTAATCCCAATGCTAAAGAAGGAAAAAATCGCAATAGACTGATCAACATCGATATCTTGAAAACCATATGAAAGATTACCGATCTGAAAAAATCATAACTCATCTTTCTTAATACACTCTTCCTAGAATCAATGCGAAAATATTCTAGTATAACGTTTATCAAGTTCATGGATAAACAAACAAAAAGATACTTATGTTTTTATGTTCTACATATGCTTAAAAATGTTATCTTATTTCATCAATGATTCATATGCCACTTAATGCACACACAAAAAGGATTCATATGCTTGCAGAATTCCATTTTAGTGTTAATGTCTCTAATTAAAAGACGAAATACTATACTTACATCAACAAAAACTCATATCATGTTTGTCTTCTTGAATGACGCCTTAAATCAACAAAAATGCAAATCACCTTCACAAAAACTGAATAAAGAGGAAGAATTGAGAGATTATTATGCTTAAACAATGTTACTTTATCTCATCAAGGATTCATATACCACTTTATCTACACACAAAAATATCCATATGCCTACATAATTCCAACTTTAGTATAAATGTCTTCGACTAAAACATGAAATATTATACGTACATAAACCCATACCATGATTTGACTTATTGAATGATGTCTCAAATCAACAAAAATGTAAATTGTCTCCACAAAATTATAACTGAATAGAGAGGAAGAATTGAGAGATTAATAGAGAGATTATCATACAGGTGTACCTTGAGGAGAAGATGAAAAATTATAACCGAATAGAGAGAAATAATAAGAGTTATAACTGAATAGAGATGAAGAATTGAAAGATTATTATAGAGGTGTATCATGAAAAGAAGATGAAAAATTATAACCGAATAGAGAGAAATAATTGATAGATTATCATAGAGGTGTATCTTGAAGAGAAGATGAAAAATTATTACCGAATAGAGAGAAATAATGAGAGTTAAAAGAGCAATTATTAGAGAGAACACGAGTATGTTGAAGTAACCTAATTAAAAGATCTTAAATGTGAATATCAAAAATCAAAAATAAATATTGAGATGAGAGAAGCTTGAGAAAAGGAGAAAAGGGATAAAGTAATTTCTAGCTTTGAGAAGAGTTCACGTCATTACACTTGGTTTCTTCTTTAATATATATATTGATGATTTAGTCTCTTGTTTATTTTTAGATTCTTTTCTTTTACACAGTAATTTGCTCTCTTGTTCTTTTTGTTTTTCTTTTATTTTACAAGAAGAGGATCTTTATGAAAAATAACCTCTACTTTTGGAAGAGATTAAAAATCTGCCCACATCTTACCTGTGTTTGTTTGGTTTAGTTTATAATATTTTTATTTGTTTCTTATATATATATATATGATATTGCTTATTTCAAGAATGCTCATTTATATATTGTTCACGACTTCTACAGTTTATGTTGAGCATCCTGGTTGACATTGAATTCCCAAATGATAAAGTTAAAAGATTACAAATAAATGAAGATGACAAGTCATTGAGGATTACATGTACATTCCCTTATCATCTGCACTCGAAAGTTGGTACTAGATCTCAACCAATGACGTATTTACATGGGTCCCTTTCCTAACACCGAGAACTTCATTTGGCGGCCATAGCCAAAAGGACAAATGACCGGAGCTATCATAATTTAGTAGAGTTTGTATTTGGGGTTTGTCTTCTGAGCAAATTTGCTTACTAATAGCAATATATGATACAAAAGATGTATCGGTTATGAGCTTATGACTTTAGCTAGATTTATTATATCTAACATATCTTCTACCCTTTACATTCACAACCTAACTGTTTTTTTTTCATACTACATCATGCGTGTACACTAACTAGTTAATAATAAAATACAACTCAAATTAACTTTATATATATATATATAGAGGTTGGTTCAAATAGAAACCAACCATATGGTACAAACTATGGAAACCGATATTGACCAATCACATTCTTTATTCACTTTAAGTTCAAATCTAAATTATAAATTAATGATAAGGGTAATTTGGTAATTCAATCTTTTTGTAACCCCCAATAATTAATTAGAAGTTACAAATCTTAAAAGATACATTTAATTGTTCATGAGATTTTTATGATTTCTTTATTATTTCATGTTCATGGTATTCATTTCAATTGATTTTATACATATATTGAAATTGGTTGTCTAAGTGTACAAGATTTTCGTTTCGTTCAAGATACATGGAGAATCTTATTGTAAAAGAATGTCAGAATAATGAAGACGATAAACGCTTGCAGTCTATGTTCATATCTGCACA